TTTATTTAAATATTGCTATCAATTATTATATTTTGATGTCTTCTAAACTCTTAGGAATTCTTTAAGTGAAGGTTGAAGATATTCTTAATTAGTCACCACTGATTATATATCAAATATTAAAGTTCATTTATTTTAAGTATAACTATATGATTATATATGCTTTTTATGAGTTATTTATTTATTTGATGTGAGAATTTAATTATGGATAACAATTAGAGATGAGAGAAATATTTTTTTTACTCGATGTTGAACTTTGATTTTAGAAGCAATTATAAAGAATAATGTTGAGATAAAAAAATGTTACTTATTTATAGTAACATTTTTCAAAAAAAAATGTTACAAAACAACCTATGTGACATTTTTTTATTTAATATGAGACTTTGATTTTGAAAATGATTGAAAAAAATAATATTGAAATAAAAAATATTACTCTATTTTAATATTTTCAAAAAAATGTTGCAAAATAATTTATCTATTCAATATATAGTAACATTTTAACAAATGTAAGAAAGAAAATGTAGTAATGCTATACCATGTTGTTTCTCTTATAATCGTAGCTTATCCTTACATGATTTCTTAGGTTAGACTATGATGGTCATACTTGCTATGAGACTAGGACAAGGATAGTTTGGAAGAGGAATTTGTCTTATATAGGCCATGTCAGAGGTAACAATGTTGATTTTTGAGCTACCTTGGTGTAACATTTTTTTTGTAGTTATTGCTTGGTCGACAACCTAGATTTACACTTTCAATACTAGATTACTATTTGCGTGTAAGTGTGTGTGTGTGTCTATATATATATATATATACATATATATATATATATATATATATATATATTTTATATATATATATATAGAGGAAGGTTCTTTTTACTCTAGGAATAACTCTACCTAGAATTACTCCGTTCAATAACTCATTCTACATCAAATTTCAACGATCTAACCGTTCAATTTAAAGTTCTTAATGCATAGATCAAATATGCAAATTTTAGAAAATTTAAAAATCATTTGATACTTCATTTCATTAATTCAAATTGACGGATAATCATAAAATCATTTTATACATTGATTCAAATTAATGAAACGAAGTATCAAATGATTTTTAAATTTTCTAAAAATTTGCAGATTTGATTTATTCATTAAGAACTTTAAATTGAACAGTTGGATCGTTGAAATTTAGTGTAGAATGATGAAGGTTTTTGCAAACACACCACTTGGCAAGTGAACCAAGTTTCGAAGTAGTATTCAAATATCATCCTCAGGGATTTGAGTGTTTAGTAATTCTTTCTCTAATGATTTAAATGAGAATGTGGTTATAATTGCAAATGAGTGAAGATAGAGTAAAACAACACAATAAAATAAAAGTAGTAAAAACTATGGTTAAGAAACAAGGATTGGTTCAGAGGTACTTGCTAACTTGTAGATCTTCTTAAGATAAATGCGATTCTAATTTCATTATTTCCACGTTCATTAAGTAATCCAACAAGATTCCTCAAGGTTGAATCCTAAAGTCATTAAGCTCAAAACATGATTCCTCTATGTTTTAAGTTTAACACTTCGCATTAAGAACAAAGACTTGAACAATGTGACTAACCAAATCAAGTCTATTCCTAGAACAAGAAATGATTAGGTGCAAGATTCAGTTCGGGTTTTCGAAAACGTTTTCCAACTGGATTCAAAAGCCAAAAATCATACAACGGGATAAAAAAGCCGATATAAGCATTAAGGGAAGAATCAAGCACAAATAATGAGATCAAAATGCATATATTTAAGAAGAAAAAGAGTTAGTAGTTACATCCAACTAATCCTTAAGGAGTTTAGCCACACATGGCCATTACAACATCAAAGAGTGAAAAGAAGAAATTACAAAGTAAAGGATGAAGAAATGGAGTTGATCTTCGTTCCCAAAGGATTCAGCTTCCAAATCTTTGTTCTCCCTTCGTTCTTTCCTCTTCACGTGCTCTTCTCTCTGTTTTTCTCCCTCTGGTACGTGATGCCCC